AGCCCAGCAATTAGTTTTATGACTATTATTCTAAATTCACTTTCTGTTATATCATTTAAATCCTTTTTGATCAGTTCATTGGCTGTTGTTATTTCCTGGAGATTCTTTTGAGGGGAATTCTTCCGTTTGGTCGTTTTGGATAGTCCCCAGAGTGGTGCGGACCTGCAGGGCACTTCCCCTGTGCTGTGGTGTATAACTGGAGATGGTAGGCGGGGCCTCAGTCAGTCCTGGTGTCTGCCCCCAGCCCACTGCTGGGGCCATAGTCAGACTGGTGTGTGCCTTCTCTTCCCCTCTCCTAGGGGCAGGATTCACTGTGGGGTGGCGTGGCCCATCTGAGCTACTTGCACACTGCCAGGCTTGTGGTGCTGGGGATCTGGCGTATTAGCTGGGGTGTGTAGGCAAGGTGCACGGGGGCAGGAGGGGCAGGCCCAACTCGCTTCTCCTTAGGTGATCCACTTCAGGAGGGGCCCTGTGGCAGCGGGAGGGAGTCAGACCCGCTGCCGGAGGGGTGGCTCCGCAGAAGCACAGGGTTGGGTGTTTGTGCGGAGCGAGCAAGGCCCTGGCAGGAACTGGTTCTCTGTGGGATTTTGGCTGGGGGATGGGCGAGGAGATGGCGCTGGTGAGCGCCTTTGTTCCTTGCCAAACTGAGTTCTGTTTTTCGGGGGGCTCAGCAACTCTCCCTCCCTTTGTCCTCCAGCCTTCCCGCTTTCTGAGCAGAGCTGGTAACTTATAACCTTCCAGATGTTAAGTCCCGCTTGCTGTCAGAACACACTCTGTCCAGCCCCTCTGCTTTTGCCAGACTTGGGTGCTCTGCTTGGCGGGCGGGCCGCCCCTCCGCCCCAGCTCCCTCTTGCCAGTCCGTGGAGCGCGCACCGCCTCACCGCCCTTCCTACCCTCTTCCATGGGCCTCTCGTCTGCACTTGGCTCTGGAGACTCCGTTCTGCTAATCCTCTGGTGGTCTTCTGGGTTATTTAAGCAGGTGTAGGTGGAATCTAAGTGATCAGCAGGATGCGCAGTGGCCCAGCGTCCTCCTATGCTGCCATCTTCCAAGATCTCCAGCTAATTTGGTCTGCTATTAACCTTACAACTCCTGTTTTTTGTTTTTAATTGCATAGTATAGTTTGCCAACTCTTTTATCTTCAAAATTCTTGAATTCTTTCGTTTTAAATATTTCTCAGGCACGCTGTACAAAGTTGGATTATTTTCTCTGTGATCAAAGCTGAGTCACTTGTTTTTAATAGGTGAGTTTGTAACAGACACTTGCCTTTACCGAAGTTACAACATGGAAGATACACTTCTAGTTGATTTAAAAAAATACGTTTCTATAAAAATATTCAGACTTTTACTGTATAGTAGGCAAGACAGACCAGTTTTAAAATTTTTACCCAAGAATACTGAAGAACAATTTTGACGTATTTGAATACAAGAATTCTGAGGCATATTCCTGTTGAGTTTTCTCATGTTTATTTATTTTTTTTTTTATGAATACCTGTTTTTTTTTTTTATATATGAAA